GGTTGTTTTCATGTTATTGAATAGTAAGAGTTCTTTATGTATTCTGGATATGTATTTTATCATCAATGTGATTGGCAGACATTTTTTTTACAGTCTGTGGCTTGTCTTTTCATTTTCTTTCTTTCTTTCTGTTTTTTTTTTTTGCTGAGGAAGATTCACCCTGAGCTAACGTCTGTTGCCGATCTTCTCTTTTTTTTTCCTTGAGGAAGATTAGCCCTGAGCTAACATCTGTGTCAGTCTTCCTCTATTTTGTATGTGGGTTGCTGCCACAGCGACCACGTGCTAACGAGTGGTGTAGGTCTGTATTCGAGATCCGAACCTGTGAACCTGGGCTGCTGAAGCAGAGCACGCTGAACCCAACCACTGTGCCACGCGGCCGGCCCCATCTTTTCATTTTCTTAATGGTGTCTTTTTAAGACACCATTGGTTTTCAGTTTTGATGAAGTCAGATTTGTCAATTGGTTATGCTTTTGATATTGAACCTAAGGACTCTTTGCCTAACCCAATGTTGTGAAGATTTTCTTCTATGTTTTCTTCTAAAGGCTTTATAGTTTTAACTCTTAAATTTATGTCTAATCTGTCTTTTATTGTGTGTGTGAAGAAGATCAGCCCTGTGCTGACATCTGCCAATCCTCCTCTTCTTCTTTTTTTTTTTTTTTTCGCTGAGGAAGACTAGCCCTGGGCTAACATCCATGCCCATCTTCCTCCACTTTATATGGGACAACGCCACAGCATGGCTTGCCAAGCGGTGTGTCGGTGCATGCCCGGGATCCGAACTGGCAAACCCTGGGCCGTCGCAGTAGAGTGCGCACACTTAACCATTTGCGCCACTGGGCTGGCCCCTAGATCCATCTTGAATTAATTTTTGTATATGATGTGAGGTAAGGGTCCAACTTCATTTAAAAACACACCTAATACATTAAGAAAATTAATAGACTTTATTTTGTAGAGCAGTTTTAGGTTTACATAAATATTGAGCAGAAAGTACAGAGAGTTCCCATATCCCCCCCCATACACACAGTTTTTTCTATTATTAACATATTGCATTAGTGTGGTACATTTGTTACAAATCATCAACCAATATTCATACATATATTGGTTGGCTAGGGCTGCCATAACAAAATACCACAGACTGGGTGGCTTAAACAACAGAAGTTAATTTTCTCACGATTCTGGAGGCTGGAAGTCCAGGATCAAGGTGTTGGCAGGTTTGGTTTCTCCTGAGGCCTTTCTCCTTGGCTTGTAGTGGCCATCTTCTCATTGTGTCCTCACACGGTCTTTTTTTGTGTGTGCGCATCCCTGGTGTCTCTCTGTGTGTCCAAATTTCGTCTTCTTTTAAGGACACCAGTCAGATTGGGTTAGGGCCTACCTTAACAGCCTCGTTTTAACTTCATCACCTCTTTAAAGGCCCTGTTTCCAAATATAGTCATGTTCTGGGGTGTTGGGGGTTTGGACTTCAACATGTGAATTTTGGGAAGATACAAGTCAGTCCATAAGAATGTATTATTATTAACTAAAGTCCGTAGTTTACATTAGGGTTCATTCTTTTTGTTTACATTCTGTGGGTTTTGACCAGTGTATAATGACATGTATTTACCATTATAGCAACATATAGAATAGCTTGACACCCTAAAAATCCACTGTGCTCCGTCTATTCATCCCTCCCTCCCCCCTAACCCTTGGCAACCACTGATCTTTTTACTGCCTCCATAGTTTTGCCTTTTCCAGAATGTCGTATGATTGAAATCGTATGGTATGTAACCTTTTCAGATTGGCTTCTTTCATGTAGTAATATACTTTTAAGGTTTCTCCATGTCTTTCTGTGGCTTGATGGCTCATTTCATTTTAGCACTGAATAATATTCCATTGTCTGGATGTACCATAGTTTTATATTCATTTACTTATTGAAGGATATCTTGGTTGCTTCCCAGTTTTGGCAGTCATGAACACAGCTGCTATAAACATTTATGTGCAGGTTATTGTGTGGGTATAAGTTTTCAGCTCCTTTAGGTAAATATAGAGGAGCACAATTGCTGCATCACACGGTCAGAGTATGTTTGGTTTTGTAAGAAACCACCAAACTGGCTTCTAGAGTGGCTGTACCATTTCGCATTCCCATCAACAATGAATGAGAGTTCCTGTTGCTGCACATCCTTGTCAGCATTTGGTGTTGTCAATGTTTTGGATTTTCGGCATTCTAATAGGTGTGCAGTGGTATCTTATTGTTATTTTAATTTTGCAATTCCCTAATGACATATGATGTTGAGCGTCATGTTTTCATATGCTTATTTGCCATCTTTATATCTTCTTTGGTAGGTGTCTTTACATATCTTTTGCCTATTTTTTAATCAGGTTGTTTGTTTGCTTATTGTTGAGTTTTAAGAGTTCTTTGTATATTTTGGTAACAGTCCTTTATCAGACATGTCTTTTGCAAATATTTTTTCTCAGTTTGTGGCTTGTCTTCTCATTCTCTTGACAGTATCTTTCACAGGGCAGAAAATTTTAATTTTAATGAAATTCAACTTATCAATGATTTTCTTTCATGAATCGTGCCTTTGTATGTAAAAATGTATCACCAAACCCAAGGTCATCTGGACTTTCTCCTATATTATCTTCTAGGAGTTTTATAGGTTTGCATTTTACATTTATGTCTATGATCCATTTTGAGTAATTTTTTGAAGGGTTTAAGGTCTGTGTCTAGATTCGTTTTTTTGCACGTGGATGTCCAGTTGTTCCAGCATCATTTGTTGAAAAGACTGTCCTTTCTCCATTGACTTTGTTTTGCTCCTTTGTCAAAGCTCAGTTGTCTCCATTTGTGTGGGTCTATTTCTGGCCTCTCTATACTGTTCCAGCTTTTTTTGTTTTTTGCTTATGAATGTCCAGTCGTCCCACCACTCACTGTTTATTGAAAAGACTGTCCTTTCCCCATTGAATTGCCTTCGTGCTTTTATTGAAATTCGAAGTATAAGAGTATATTTATGGACTCTCAGTTTTGTTCCATTGACCTATATGCCTATCCTTGCATCACTATCACACTGTCTTGATTACCTTGATTTTATAAGAAGCTTTGAAATTGGGTTGTGTAAAACCTCCAACTTTGCTCTTCTTTTTCAAGACTGTTTTGCTTATTGTACAGACTTTGCATTTCGTGTAAGTTTTAGTATCAGCTTGTCACTTTCCACAAAAAATCCTGCTGGGATTTTGATAGGGATGACATTGAATTTACAGATCATTTTGGGAAGAATTGCCACCTTAACAGTATTGAGTCATCCAGTCCATGAACATGGAATTTCTCTTCATTTGTTTAGATCTTTAATTTCCCTCAACAATGTTTTGTAGTTTCCAGTATTCAAGGCTTGTGTTTCTTTTGTTAAATATATTCCTAGGTATTTACTTCTTTTTAATGCTCTTGTGAATGGAATTGTATCTTTATTTAATTTTAAACCTTCTTAGCTTTGTAAGACGTCACCGTTTGGGGAACATTGTTCTCAACGTCTGTAAAAGTTGGAGGTTACATAATTCCCACCAAGTTGGTGCTGTTTTTTCAGGCACATTGAGGGTGAAATCCAGAGACTTTGCAGTCACCATCTTGAGTGAGTTGGGGTTGCTCATTGGCCATAGGTTATTTGTCCATTCATTTCTGGCACAAAACCAGCTATGTAGCTCACCAGTCTTGTGGTTGGCAGTTAGGGTGGGACTCAGCGGTGTGGTTTTCTAGTGTAGGCCCGGCTGGCTTATGTGTCTGTGGCCATCTGCCCATCAGGTAGGTGGCTCTGCTTCTTGGGGCTGACTAGATGTTGGCTGGGACTGCAGGGGTTTCTCTCATGGTGACAGGCTGGCTCGGGTTTGTTCTTGTGGTGAGTGGCAGGGATCTGAGAGCGATAGAGGGGTACTGGACCCCAGGAGGCCTAGGCTCAGAGTTGATGTGCTCTCACCGGCCTCATTCTGTTGCTCAAAGCGAGTCATCAGGCCAGCCAGATTGAAGGGGAGGAGAAATAGACCCATCTCTTGATGGGAGGAGCTTCAAAATCACATGCAAAGGGGTGTGGCTATAGGAAGGGGAATAATTGTGACCACTTTTGTGCACAGTTCCCTACAGTAGGTTGTATCTCTGCAGTTCAGTCTGGCTGATTAGAATCTGAATCCTTTTTTTATGTTTTTGGAAATTACCCACCTTCTGAATCTTGGTGGGGACAAGTACCACCTCTTCCAATAGGAGCTGAATACGCTACATATTTGTTTTCCTGGACTCCAGTGCATCTAGGGCACAGGCACCTGTGCAGTTTGGAAGTGAGGGAGCTGATGTAGTAGGCTCTGCATGGCATTAATTTTCTGGTTAGGGTGACGACAGAGGTGACTGGTTGCAAGGCCGAGTTCCCGTTGCAGAAGCAGCAGCTGTGCTGGTGTTGGTGCTGGTTGCAGTCAAGTTAAGGTCAGGGTGGAAAAGTGGGAAGGGTGCCGACTGTCCCCTCTCTTGCTCTGCTGCAGCAGGGTCATCGACGTTTTATGGGAAGCAGGACTTGGTGCTGCGTCTGTTTGGGGTAAATGCACTTTGCCATCATTGGACACGATGAGCCCTTGTTAGAGTTAATGAGACAAGCCATGCCCCAGAGATGTGTCGGTGGGTCTCTCAGCCTGCATCCCCTGGGTTCAGGGAGCACTTTGATGTTGCCCAGATGCTCCTTGTTGGCTTCAAGAGTCTCCGAGAACCATGCACGGTGAGAGGAGGTATGAAGAGTCTGGGTGCACCAACGGCCTTGCTCTGCTCAGTCACCCAGGTTTGTGTTTCATTTCAGTGCAATAGTCTAGTGGCTGCACTCGTAGCAATTAATGACATGTGGGCTGATTAGTCAGCTGGAGAACTGGTGGTTTGGACTGATCTGCTATTTTGTCCTTGGTTGTTTAGTTTGTGAGGCCAGCCCTGCTTCCAGGTGGTACCAGTGACCTGGCGGGTTAGCGCAAGCCCAGGGGACAGGTCATGTCTCTTGCTTTCCCCACAGGCAGCCTCTGTGGCAGTGGCACAGGTGTGTGCTACCTGCTGCCTGTCTTCGACACCGTGTTTGTCAGGAGGAGATACCGTCGCCAAGGCCTGGGCATGGCCATGCTGCAGGACTTCTGTGAGACGTTCCGAGAGGAAAAGGCCCTGGGGGTCAGCTGCCCTATTTCACCTGCCATGTACCAAGGTAAACCCACCTTGCGTCAGGTAGAAGTGTTTGGGTGGCAGTGATGGATAATACATGTGCACTACAGGTGATTCTGGAATTCCCGGAGGAGGGAGGTGCCTTGGGGTCCTCGGCACTGTGACATGCATGTAGGTTTTCTCTTCCTCCTGAGAAATCTGTCATTGCTTCACCACAAATGAGACTTTATACTCGATCACAAGGGGCGAACCTTTCCCAGGCTGAGGAATAATTGGATTTAGAAATAATAAAAACAAATCGACACAGCGTCAGAGAGAGGCGGAACCCAGAGACCTGCTGCTGTGCTGCGGTGGCTGCTGGGCCCTCGGAGGCTCTCTGCTCTTTCACTTGAAGCTTGTAGTTCGTCGCTTTGCCCTTTCAACTGGAAGCTGCAGGGAGCCCAGGAGCCGAAAGGAAGGGCAGTAGCTGGTGTGCAGAGGCCAGCTCTGAATGCACTGAGCCACGAGCACCTCTGTAGCTCTCACTGCAGAAGACGGCTCCCCCTTCTTCTGTTCTCGTCCCACTGAGTCCCTGTATTAGTCAGGGTTCTCCAGAGAAACAGAACCAATAGGATGTATGTATATGTGTGTGTGTATGTATGTGTATATATATAGAGAGAGCGAGCGCCTGAGAGAGAGAGAGGGAGAGAGAGAGGGGAGGTTTATTGTAAGGCATCGGCTCAGTTGATATGGAGACTGAGATGTTCCAAGATCTACAGTTGGCAAGCTATAGACCCAGGAGAGTCGATGGGGTGGTTCCAGTCCAAATGCCAGCAGGCTCGAGACCCAAGGAAAGCTAATGTTTTAGTCCAAGTCTGAAGGCAGGAAAAGACCAGTGTCCAAGCTCAATCAGTCAGGCAGGAGGAGTTCCCTCTTACTTATGGGAGGCTCAGCCTTTTTGTTCTGTTTTCAGGCCTTCAACTGACTAGATGAGGCCCACCCACATTAGGGAGGGCAGTTTACTCAGTCTACCGATTTAAACGATAATCTCATTCAGAAACACCCTCACAGACACACCCAGAACAATGTTTGACCAGATGTCTGGGCACCCCTGGCCCAGTCAAGTTGACGTATAAAATGAACTATCACCATCTTCTTCCGTGTTCTGGAATAGAGATCTTTATACATATCTGCCAGAGGAAGTTCCAAAAGCGCTGATGTTAAACGCCGCCTTCCAAGTCAACAAGTGTGGGAGAGCCTGGTGAGCGTCTCCCCCAGGATCTGCTTGCCCTCTGGGAAGCGGCCCCCACGCCCCTGTCGGGCCCTGCCTCACTTCTTGTCATGCAGATGCTTTTGGACCCTCGGTGTTGCATTTCCAGTATGAGAGGAACCACAGATAGGAGAGAAAAGGGGGGGACAGGCGAGGAAGCTTCTGTTGCTGTGAAGTTAGGAGAAAAGCAGGTGAAACATATTTTCCCTCAGGTGTATTTCGTTGTTTCTTTGTGTTTTCAAACTCTTAGTCTGTAATTGAATTCTGAAGATCCTTGTATTTCAGCAGAGTGCTTGAGGCTTCCTGCACTGTGTAGCTCATTTTGAGGTGTTAGAAAGTTCTGGAATCCAGGCAGCTGGTTCTCTACCCACACCACTGTCCTGTCCATCCCTCTCCTTATTCTCGCTTCAATTCTGAGACCTCTGAGTGCCTTGGCCCTCAGGGCAGCCACCTCGGGTTTCCTCGGGGGAACAGCAGGCTCCAAGGGCGGCACCGCCCCCAGGCCAGTGCTGCGGAGGCCCTGGCGGGGTCCACAGATCCCGGCTTTCCCTCTGCCTGGCAGAGAAAGGAGACCTGAAGGTGCTGGTTCTGAATCACGCTCCTCGTCTCGGGGGTTTCAGCGGCCCGGGTGCTGGGGCTTGAGCTCTTACGTCCCCCCGACTGCGCCTGGGTGCGTGGGCCAGCAGGCGGAGCGTGGAGGAAGAAGCAGCTGGAGGTTCAAGACCGTGCCCGGGCCTGCAGCTGCATGCTTCACAGAGCGGCTTTTATCGAGTACAGGCCTGCCTTTCAGCTGCACATGAGGGACTCCTGCTCAGGGCCTCGTGCTTCCGAGCCTCTTGAAGCTGCGCCTGTCTCCACGGGGTGGGGAATCTGTGGGCCCAAGAGGATGTTCCCACCCGGGTCCAGTCAACTGGCTCAGGGTACCAGCACCCCAGGATTCCTGCCAGTGGCTGCTGAGGGCCCTGGTGGACTCCATCCCTGGATGCGGGCCCTTGAGGGCCGACCACGCCACCAGTTTGCGTATCCTTAGGCTCCAGGGACAGCCTCTGGTGGGACGTGGATGGAGTGTGGGTGTGGTGTCCACATTTCTATGCACAGGCCCATTGTAGTGGGGGGGAGCCAGAGTGGGAGGAGAAGCGGGTGGGCTGCCGGCGGGGGGCCGGCTCTCTTGGTATCGCCACATTCTGGTGCAAAACTCCAAGGGGTCCAAGAATTCTAAATTTGAAACTGGCTTTCCCTGTTGTTAGGAAGTTATATTTGTCAAGATAGGAGAGCAGAACATTCTATCCAGCACTCTGCTGGCTTGGCTTACACCTTTGGAACACTTAGCGTCACGTGTGTGGGTTTCCATCTGTGCTTTGGCCTGGGCCCGAAAATGTTAGGAGAGGCCTGATGGAGTCCCCTCGGGCACCTGCGGGACCCGGAGCAGCTTCCCGTTCCGCTGGATTCGGGTGCTGCCGCGTGAAAATGCTCATCCCATGAATGTGGGCATAAAGGTCTGCAAGCCTTGAGGGGGCCCTGGAATCAAGGTGTCTTTGGAGGATGAGCTGGAAGGTTCTGTGGGAGAGGAGGGCTGCGGAGGCTCAGAGGGAGGGAGACAGTGCCTGAGGAGAAAACTGAGTGGGGTGATGTTATGGGCTGAATTGGGTCCCCCACCCAGATTCTTATGTTGAAGTCCTAACCGCCAGTGTGACTGTATGTGGAGATGGGGCCTTTGAAGAAGTGATTAAGGTTAAATGAGGTCATAAGAGTGGGGCCCTGATCCAGTGGGACTGGAACTCTTATGAGAAGAGGAGATGAGGACACAGCCGGGTATAGAGGGAAGACCCTGTGACACAGTAAGAAGATGGCCATCTGCAAGTCAAGGAGAGAGGCCTCAGGAGAAAGCAGACCTGCTGACCCCTCGATTTTGGACTTCCGGCCTCCAGACTGTGAGAAAATAAATGTCTGTTCCTTGAGCCCCGCAGTCTGTGGTGTGTTGTTATGGCCGCCGGAGCTGACTAAGATGGGATGGACGACAATGGGAGCACAAGCTGGGCAGGTGGGGGTGATGAAAGTGGTTTGTGTGTAGCAGGGATCAGAGCAGAGACCTGGGGGTGGGGTGGGTGGGTGCAGGGAGAACCAGAGGTGGCCATGCCTGGGGATGCGGAGAGGGGCTGGCCTGTGAGCCGGGGTGGGGCGGGCCTTCCTGACTCTCGTGCTCTCCTTCCTCTCAGTCTGCAGGAAGTTCCTGTCGGCCCGGCCGGAGGAGCAGGGGCGCCTGTGGGAGGTGGAGCCCCCAGGAGCCTGGGGCCAGCGAGGCAACATCTGGCGGAAGGTTCAGCTTCAACAGTCAAGACTTTCCGAGTGTGAGTCAGAGTGAAGAACATGCGGTTTGTTCTCATTACTCCTCTTGTCAGTAACTGAAGCGCAGATGAATTTCTAGGATTGAGGCAGGCCTGTGCAGATGTTATGTCTGTTGTTGCAGGCACGAAGGCGTTCTGTCCTCCTTCCACCTTCCCGCCCTGAATGAACCACGCCTTCTAGACCCTGCTGCTTGGAAAGAAAGCTCTCCCCCGGTTAGCTGAATCAGGACCTCCTGGGGGCCGAGGGGCTCCCTGTTTACCATTAGAACAGACCACTGAGGGCTGGCCCCGTGGCTTAGCGGTTAAGTGCGCACGCTCCGCTGCTGGCGGCCCGGGTTCGGATCCCGAGCGTGCACCGCCGTAGCGCTTCTCCGGCCATGCTGAGGCCGTGTCCCACATACAGCAACTAGAAGGATGTGCAGCTGTGACATACAACTATCTAGTGGGGCTTTGGGGGAAAAATAAAAATAAATAAAATAAAATAAAAAAAAACCAGATCACTGAAACACGTAAGAAGATTGATTTTCTCTGTCTAGCTGAAGATCAGTTGAAAACATTATTTTGAATAGGCAATGTGAGCATCTGGTGAAAAATGCAAAAGACACACCAGGGTTTACTGTGAACCTCTCTCCTTCATGGAGGAAACACGCATGCAGAAGTGACCGCATCACATGGACAGTGTACTTTGTCCTCCTTTTTAAGGACAGCCTAGTATGATGCCGTGTGGCTGTGTTGTTGTTTATTTGGGCAGCCAAATAAACCCTGCTGCAGACACAGACGTCGTCCTCAGTTTGGGGTTGTCACAGGCAACACCTCAGTGAATTTGCCAGCAGGGTTTTGATGGAGGGTGTTGGTGAGAGACAGGAACAGTTGGCGAGTGTGGGTCCCAAGGCGGGGGTGGGGGAAGACCTTTAAGTAGTTAGAGGGGAGCGCAGGGTGGCAGACACACTTGTCTCTGCATCTCCAGGTTGCTGTGACAGTGTTCTTCCCACCTGTCCCGGGGGGGAGGAGTGCACACTGCAGGCCTTTCTCAGCTCAGCGCTGAGGGTGAGGCCCCGAGGCAGGGCCAGGCCGTGCGGAGCCCTCTAGGCTGCGGGTGCCTTGTGGGAGGCACATGAGGTTCTAACGGCTTAAATTCACTGGCCAAAATGAAAGTGCCAGCTTTTCTTCCCTCCTGGCATCGGAGCTGCTGTCAGCATCAAATGCCATTCTGAGGCTGCAGGTGGCTCATTAGGGGACGGATGGGCACCGAGGGGCAGGGCTTTTCTCCGTGTGGATAACTGATTTACCTTATTGGTGACAGAGAAGAGTGCCTTGGAATTTAGTGATGATAATAGTGATAGGTTTGGCTTTTATGGTGCCTTTCAACTGAAAAGCTTAATGGATATTTACGGATATTAATGGGGTGACCAGGCACCTGGGAAGGAGGCTGTGGCAGGGCAGTGACTGTGAGCCTAATGAGGTGGTTAAGTGGCTTGCCCTGTGGTGTCGAGAGTTAAAAATGAAGGGGAGCCAGCCCAGACCCTGTGCTCTGAGCTGACCGGGTGCTGGGTTCTCCATGAGCTTCACAGATGAGTCTGCAGCCCCCATGCCGACTCGGCCTTTGTGTCTTGGACGCTGAGTTCCTTGGCTGGGAATGGAAAGAAAAAATGGCTCTCGTATCAGAATGTGGAAATAATGTGGAAATGGCACAGGCCAGCAGGGGGAGGAGGTTTTCGCATAATTAGGGAGATGGCTTCCTCTGAGGAGAATTCTACTGGGGGTGATTTCAAGAGCCGAGAACTGGTGTGGTCTGGTCAGAGGAAACCGAGCTGGGAGTCAGATGCCAGACCTGTCACTTTAACTCACTCTGAGATACGCCAACTCTTTCTTTAAAACAGCAAATGAGGGGACTTTTGCAGAGAATGTTCCAGAAGCATGCTCGAGTCCCTTGAAGGAAGAAGGGTCATCATTATAATTAGGATATAATTAGATTAGTACAACTTTATAATTTTTTTTAAATTCCAAGTTATGGTCTTCTCACTCCCTGTGTAAATCGTAGCTAGTTCCCAGTTTCACCCACACCTCTGTCTCCCCCAGGGCCAGCAGGCAGGAAGGTTTTTAATCCACTCAGGAAGGTTTTTAGCCACCCAGCTTCATCTCATCACAAGGGTGTCAGTCAGTGCTGCCAGCTCAGGTTAGAAGTGGTGAGTGGGGGCTGTGAATACAATCACACGTTAGCCCAGAGGCTCTGCCGTTGCTCTGTTTCCAGTCTGTTTCTCTCTTCATGGACATCAGCAAGTGTTTGCCCATTAGATTTTCCCACAGGTCACCAAACAATGCAGATTCTGGAATCTTCTCTTTCCTGGAAATCTCACTAGGCACTTAATTTTAGTTTCTAATAAGTCAGTTATTTTTAGAGTTGCTTTCTTGAATTGTTCTGTTTTTCAGTTTCTGACTGTTATTTGGGAGGTTTTCTACAATTTCATGTGCCATAGAAATAGAACAGTAAGCAAGAAGCCCAGTGGAGCCGATTGCATTTTACATTCTAAGAAAGTCATGGACGTTTTACAACATTCCAAAGGGAAATTGTGTTCCTTTCAAGTGTTTTAAAATCTATTTTTGGAGCAGTGTCATTTGTGGACTAGGTCTTTTAAAGTTTGCGCGATCCTGCCTGTTGATAACATCTGTGGCTTATAATGGCCCTGGAAATATTTACAGGGTTATTCAGACCTTTTGAGAGAAGGAGTTTGTGGGAAATTAGTTTCCTCCCTCACTCAGTTACATATGAAGCCTTTGAAACTTGAGCAATGGGATCATAATTCTCTCTGATGTGACTTCCCAGTTAGCCTGCCCATGCCTTCAGTTTCTTTACTGGAGGAGATGAAATTGAATACGTCAACGGCCCCGTGTTCTTTTACAGAAACGATGCTGGAGGCAGGAAATAATTGCACACAGCTTTAAAAATTAATTTTTTCTTTCATACGTTATAGTTTTGCTTTCTTTCCAGGTGAATTTTTAATAGCTTCAATTGTCATCCACAGGGAAAATACTTTTCTTCTATTTACCTTGAATTTTTAAAGCTGGAGGGAGTGTACATGAAGAGATGTGAAATATTTGAGCTGGGGAGTGGGGTCATTTTTCTAAAAGTCTGATGCTTAGCAAACTGCAGCTCTAACCTTATTTCAGCTTGTTCTGGTGAGTCGGACATTACAGAGTGCAGTAGCAGTAGCAATTTTATGGGGGGTGAGCTCTGCTGGGAAGTGCTGAGGGCAGAATCACCATCCTGGATGGGTTTTTTTCTGGCTAATGCTGCTCTTTGAAAGGTTGCGTGGCTCCCTCTTGTGGCCATTGTAGTCTGCTGCAGCCCTGGATGTTAACTTGGACGTGTTTACCTTTGACCTGCCTGTGTGGTTGCTTCTCAGATTCTTATACTTGTGAGTCCAAGTTAGTGCCTTCATTTTTAAAACTTATTGACCCTTCATTGGTTGGGAATAAAATACAAGTAAACATTTGATGGCTACTAGCATGCTTTAGTCTCTAACACACAAAAACATATGTCAGGAAATGTGGAAAACTGATAATGGATTATCTGCTTCATTCTTTTCTTCATTCACTCACTCACTCATTCATTCATGTAATTGCTCATTCATTGAATTGATTACCGTTAGTGGAGCATCTCCTGACACCAGGCACTGTCCGAAGCGGTAGGGATACAGAGGTGAAGAAGGCTGACGAGTCTCTGAACTCATTTATGAGCTTAGATTTTTGTGAAGAAAAGTGCCTGGGCAGCTAGTACTGTATTATGTAAAATCTTTACATATCGGAGAGAACTAAAGAGTCCTGATATTTTTAAATGCTTACCATTAGATTTTGGAATCCAATTTTGCTAATTTATAAAGTCTGGAAATAAGCTTTAAAATTTACTTCTAAAGGTAACAACTAAATAATACATTTATTCTTTTTTCGAAAAATGTGTTTCATCTGTATTTTCAGTTCAAATGGAAAACTGCATACTTTTTCCTAAGGGATCTGAACAGATCTCCGCCCACACACATATACCCCCACATATGGATTTTGGGGTGTAGGGAGGTGCACAGTAGGATAAGGAAGTCATCGCCTTCCAGGTTGGCCCTACAGGATTCTGTAGGAGGGGGAAGGAGGCTGAATTAACATGAGTGATTATGGGCTCTCTTGTGAGTAAAAATTCCAGTGAGCAAAGAGGAGACCTAGGAATAGAACTGGAGACCTGACTCTATGGAATGCCCCCATAATTGGAAGACAAGATCAAAACTCGAGCTCCGAAATGCTTGAGTAGAACCACCAGTTCGTGTCTCCCGACACCTGGCAGGTTTCCCTCCCCTCCAGAGGGCGCTGGAGCAGGTGTAAAGTGAAGGTCAAGAGGATGGAATTGGGCCGTGCTGATCAATGCTTTTGGAAGGGTCCCCAGCGTGTTGTTAACCTTTGGATTGTCCTCTCCCTCGGGAGCCACCCCCGTTTGCTTATCCCGCTTTCTTCCTTGGGGAGGGCAGCTCATCCGGGAAATTCCAAGGAGGATGTGAGTGGTCGCGGGCGGACTTCTCAAGATGGGACACCCAGACAGTCCACACTGGGGAAGGCAGTGAGGTACGGTGATGGATGTGTCGTTCTAGGAATATGTTTGTGTTCTTAGTGACTGTGATGTGCTTGTTGAGTGAAGCTGGGGTCCCAACCTGCAAGGCCACTTCCTCAGCACCTCGGCCGTGGGCTTCTCTGTGGCAGGGGGCTGTTGATTTATGCTCGGAACCTCTGTGCCACGGTATGAGGAGACGCCTTTGTAATTAGACTTTTCATGGTCCTCTTCTCTAAGCTGGACCAGCTCTCCCAAAGCCAAAACTAAACAGAGAACACATGGGAATTGGCCGTAACCTTGCATTGTTAGGGAAATACTGAAAAATCTGAATTTCAAATTCTGCCATGGACCAGCATCTTTCAAGCAGAACAAATGCACAAATTTGTCTTTCTTCCCTCCCCTGCCCCTCAAGCCCAGACGCTAGCAAATGGAACATGGCATTAAGTTGTCATATAACCCAGCTCATGGTAGAACAGAACCGTGGGCAAGGTTCTGAATATGTCTTAGTGGCCTGATGTCATTCATTATTTTATAAGATTGTGAAGTGATATGATTCCTTAAGTGTTTTCCTTGCCCACAAGAAGTAGTTGTAATAACAGCCACTCTCTGGCATGGAAGGGCCTTTGCTCTTGAATCCCTCAAGAGTCAATAATGATTTTAAACTCCAAAACTTACAATTGCACTTTGTGGGGAATACTGCTTATTTTGGAAAATAGATGGTTCTGCGATAGAAGACTGAACATCAAAGGCATAAAATATCCCAGTAAGTTTTAGAATATAAAGTTATAAAATATCCCTGATCATTTTAGAAAAGCTGCCCGGTGTCTGACATTAGTTCCAGCCATCTTGGTTCCTGATGGAAAGATGGGCTAACTTACAACCCTCCCAGGCCACTGAATGGAGAGTGTGTGGTATGCCTCTTCGCTGGTCTCTGACTTTCCTTTTAAACCTTGAAGGCCGTTAGAGGAGGCGGGAGGTGTCCAGTGTAGTGTAATGCCCACGGGCATGTGTGTGGGGAGTCTGCACGTTCAAGTGTAAAAGCATCAGTTGTTAAAGGGGTGCCTCCTTGCCTTGTTCTTCCTCATCTCCCTGGGCTGGGCCTCCCCTCCGTTCCCATCGGTGGACATGCGCTCAGAGCTTCTTACATACAAAACGTGGTGTCCCTGTGCCTGGCGGAGTGTTTGAACCCAGCTCATCCATTCTGAATCTGAGCACGCGGTGCAAAGCCCAGCCCAGGCCAGGCCACCAGCAAGCCCGTCACAGCGTTAGCTGGAATGTTTTATTGACTCTTTTCTGTTTTCAGGACAGGATCAGTGGAGAAGAACTGGAAGAAACACAGAATGATCCAGACTGTGGAGTGACAGAAGAAGCAGGGCGACTTGGGGGAGCCTGTGGGGCCGAGCTGGAGGGGGAGGATGCCAAGAGGACAGTGGTGGACCCTGGGCTGGCCGGGGAGTCCTGGCAGACAGACGCACATGCGGCCCCGTTCCTGACTCCCAGGGGCCCATCTGAGTCTTGTTGAGAGGCCCGTCCTGTGCCCCAGGGGATGCGGGTTTGAGAGCTGCCTCTGTCATTCCCCGCTTGTGTGGCCGAGAGCTGGTCTCTGTCCTTGCTGTGCTGTCCCTTGAGGAGAAAATGACCACACAGACCCTACCTACCTCAGGCTTGTCGTGTGGGCTCAGGAGATAGAAAGTCTGAGCAGATGCTTCTCTGTAAGTGCACAGTGCCATGCAGGTGCACGGAATTACTCCCAAGCTCAGATTTCAGAAGCTCCTTCGTTAAGCCTAATGGGTTTCTGTTACTCAGGATGACTTGATAAAGACTGCACTGGAGCCCCATGAATGTGCCTCTTTCTTCAGCACAACGAAGCTCAGAGAAAGGCCACACCCATCTGGTCTGCACTGCAGAAAGCCCTTTCAGGTTTGCCCACACCAGCCCTACTGTGACCGTGGGACCCCAGACACCAGAGGAGTTTCTAGGGAGACACATTCCTTTTCCAGACAAGCTTCAGCCACGGTGGCAGCACCCTGAAGGCAGGGGCTGGGGCCGCCTGGTGCACACCATAGCCTCTTGCTCATATCTGGCTCGGTATACAGGAGGCGCTCAGAGTGGGCTCCAGGCAGGCATCAGGATCTCAGCCATCAGCTAATTCAGAGAGAAAGCCACTGGAGGGGACTTTGGGTTGATGGCCCTTGTAGTGTATTGGCGCCTTGAGTGGAAAGGCTTGTGCTGATAAAGGTGACTGTAAAGATAACAGCTTGACCCAAAGTGACATCGGCCTCCCCGTTCTCAGCCCTGCTCAGGGCATGCGCTCGGCCACCGTTGGGGATTCGGAGCTGAGCCAAGGACCCTGCCCCCAGGCCCCACTGTGGTCAGGTGAGGCTGACCGTGGCCAGGGCCGCCGGCCTTTCACAGTGTGAAGCACAGTCCAGGCCGCCCCATGGGGCCCCATGGCCTGCTCCTCGAGAGCTGGGATGGGGCTTTCTCTGCAGGTGGCCCAGCCTCACCGATGTCCAGTAGGATTCTAACCAGACAAAGCTGGTCAGGTCATCTTGGGCCAGGCAACCCAATTCCAGCCCCTCCTCCAGGGTGCATGCAAACCTGATCGTGTCATGGAGGACACCCTGAACCCCACTGTGGCTTACCACTGCCCCTGGAGCGCTTGGGCCTGTCACAGAGGGCCCTGCTGACTCTGCTCCTGTCTGGGCATGGCCGCCTTGCCGTCTGTGTTCCAGCTGCCTGAGCTCCTGTATCCTCAGACGCCAGCTCTCTCAGGGTCTTCAGGGTCGGTGCTCATGCACTCGCTTTGCTTGGGCACGTGCCTTCCCTCTCCCTCTCACACGCAAACACACACATGCACACCCACCTTGTCAGTCAGGCCAATTCCTACTCACACATCTGATCTCAGCTCAGATGTCCCTTCCTGACTCCTCCCCCTCCCCCTCCCATGTGGCCTGGGAGCACTGGGCACTCAGCTGTGACTCCACGAGCCTCCACCAGGGTCAGCCCTTAGTTGCCTCATGTGTCCCCAGTGCCAGTGTGGAGCTGGCCCCCAGTAACTGTGTGGGAGTGAATGGTAACAGGTCACCTCAGGAGTGAGGAGTTGCCTTCCTTCTGTTCCTCTGCTACAAGACTCTGGAGAGGTGGAGAGAAGAACAAGTTTTAGCTTTTTAGGGATATGGTAAACCCATCGTGGAGTCTGGGGATGGGGAGGAGACCGCTGGCAGTCCTGAGTGCTGGCAGGATATCACCTGCTGTTTTGCTCAGTGGTCAAAGGACACATGTGGTGGGACCCTTGTTACTTATGCCACATACATCCCCGTGTCTCTCCATCCACCCATCCATCCATCTATCCGTCTGCCTGTCCATCCATCCATCCATCCATCCACCCACCCACCCATCCATCTTCCCATCCTTCCCTCCCTCCTCCCTCCATCCATCTCTCCACTCATCTCCTCATCCATCCACCCACCCATCCTACTGTCTACCCGTCTGTCTGTCCATTCATCCATCCACCTACCCACCCACCTGTCTGTCCATTCATCCATTTGTCTGCATCTGTCCATTCATCTCTCTGTTCATCCATCCATCCGTCCATCCTGTTGTACAGCAAACAGTGTGATTACTCACGGCCAAGCTCTGTGCTGGGCGCTGGGGAGATAGTGAGGCATGGTTACTGGATGCAAGGATTAAATATTCTCTCCGGAAGAGTCTCTTCTGGAGTGTTCTACTGGAGTTGTTTGTTCTCTTACACCCATTAGTTAAAGCAGGAAGAGTCTTAATTTAATAGAAATAGAGTTTGGAGCTCCATGTGGAGACATCCTGAAGTGCCCCCATGCATGTGGGCTCTCTGTGAAGGAGGCACAGGCCATACAGGTGTGATCAAGTCTGCACGAGAGGATGCTTTGTGTGTGACGCCCGACATAACCTTTAACGTGACATAGATGTGCGCTGTGAATGTTGTACTGTTTGAGATGTATGGTTGGTGCTTTGTAATGTTTACATGAATATGAACTGATGAAAATGTCTCAGGGGTTTGATGAAGTTACTGTTCAATAAAAGAATCCTCTCAAGGAAGAAAAACTGATGTGCTGATGTAGTTGGTTGAAGGACATATACACGAACCACACGGAGTTGGAAGGAATTCCTCTGAGCGCATAGCAACCCCTCCCTGGCAGCGGCACAGCCTCCCGGGTCTGGGGCTGTGTGCCGTGTTCGTTTCCACGTGGTGTGTGTGGGAAATGTTGGTGAGGCTTGTATATGTGTGTGTGTGTGTTTGCATGCGTGTGTTGTGTTGTTTTTAGTAAATCACTTTTGTTTAATTTATTATTCAGTTCCTCTATGTTCTTGACTGTTATTTTTTTACAGCTCTATTCAGATATAATTTACAATCCATGATATGCATTTCACTTCAAGTATATAATTCCACGGTTCTTAGTATATTGACAGAGTTGTGCAACCACCACCACAATCAATACTTCAAAAAGAAACCCCACACCCATTAGCAGTCTCTCCCTTTCCACCCACCCCCCAGCCCTAGGCAAACCACGCATCTACTTTTTCTCTCTCTAGATTTTCCTGTTCTGGACATGGACTAGTGGAATCATACAATGTGTGGCCTTTTGAATCTGTTTTTTTTTTTTTTTTTTTTCGCTTAGCACAGTTTTTAAAGCTCATCCATATTGTAGCGTGTGTCAGTACTTCATTCCTTTTTAAAGTTGAATAATGTTCTATTGTATGGATAGACCACATTTTGTCTCTCCATTTACCAGTTGATGGACTTTTGGATTGATTTCAGTTTTTGGCTATTATCAATAATGCTGCTGTGAACATTCGTGTACAAGTTTTTGTGCAGACCTATGTCTTCAGTTCTCTTGAGTATCTACCCAGGAGTAGAGTTTCTGGGTCATATGGTAACTCTATATTTAACATTGTGAGGAACTGCCAAATTATTTTTCCAAGTGACTACATCATTTTACATTCCCACCAGCAATGTGTGAGGGTTCCAATTTCTCTCCATTCCAGCCAACACGAGTTGGTATCTTTTTGATGATAGCCACCATCCTAATGAGTATGGACTTGTATCTTATTGTGGTTTTGATGTGCATTTCCCTGAAGACTAATGATGTGGAGCATCTTTTCATGTGCCTGTTGGCCCTTTTTTTGTCTTGGGAGAAATATCTATTCAGATCCTTTATCCATTTCTTAATTGGAGTGTCTTTTTATTATCGAGTTGTGATAGTTCTTTATATATTCTGGATATAAGTCTCTTATTACATATCTCATTTGCAGATATGTTCTCCCATTATGTGGGTTGTCTTTTCACTTTCTTGATGATGTCATTGAAGTGCAACATCATTAATTTTGATGAAGTCCAATTTAGTTTTTCTTTGGTTGCTTGTGCTTTTGGTGTTGCAGTAGTAATGACTGTGTTTTATAAATGCATGTCCTTTCACTCCCATCTAAAAGGAGTTGATGGGGAGAAAGTTATTGATTCTACAATGAATATAGAAAAATCCACAAAGAAGTCATTACTTGTAAGAAAGCTCTGTCCCTGGATCCGAGGCCCATGCCCCATGAGAGGTGTGTTGCCCTGTGGGCTGCTCCATCCTGCACTCATGAATGGGCTCAGGCCCGCAGAGGACGTTGGGGGTCCATAGTCCTGCAGAAGCTTGCATATGGATTCAGGGTCTGGCAGGGGTGGTGGGCACTCAACGCTATGCACTCGGCCCTCGAACAGATTTTCTTTCAGGGAGTGGGGTTTTCAGCAGGGGGCAGTTTGTTCCAGAAAGTCTTTGAGAACAAGCCCTTCGGGATGAGAAAGGAAGGAATCCAGCTGTTGGGCTGCTTATGGAAAGCTTAGAGGGCCAACAGATTATGAGATAATTTCTAAAATCCCCATTTTCTGCTAGAAGCAATATAAAATCTCTGATTTTGATTTAGTTCTCTTTCTGGGGAGAGATGGTCAACATCTGGAAGTTTTGAAGTTAAGTGTCCAAGTTTCCATGTTGAGAAGCCATGAAATTCCTTGGCCCCCTTCCTCTGCTACCTCCACCTCTGCCATTCCACACAGGACACAAAGTTATCACCATGGCCAAGCAAGGGAATGAAGAGCTGGAACCTCAGTGACACAGTCCCCAACCGAACATCCGGGGAGCTTGGCTTTTTGTCATTTTCAACATCAAATGAGACATAATCAGAAAGAGTAGAGTAATCCTGTCAGAAAAATCCTATAAATGGCCACAGCAACTGAAATGCTTCCATAAACGTGTTTTAAAGCCTACAGGCTCTGTTTAATGGAATTGGCTTATCTTATTGCGCCCTCCTTCCCACCAAACAAAAGTTACCTTTAGGTTTCTAGAAGGCAGCCTCTCCAGCAGGGAGCTTGACACTGTGCAGATGGCTGCAGAGCTTGTGGGCTCTCATGGCCTC